TGCAATCCTGAAAGGATTACAATACTAAGATTAGAATTCTAAAAAATTAGAATCTTAAAAGATCTAAATTTTAAAAGATCACAAATTAAACTTGAACTCAAACTATTTTTAAACTCAGTTTAGTTCAGGTTTGATACTGAACTTCTAGAGCTAGTCTGAGTTTAATCTGAGTTTGATTTGAAAGTTTGCAAAATATTTAGGTTCAGAGCAGATAATCAATTAAGACAAATTTATTTTAAAGATAAATTACTTTGTTGACAGTTTATCTCATTTAACTAACACAGTAATTACAGCTATTGTTATTAGAATTATTAAAAATATGTTTAAATTAATATAAAATTCATTAACAACTGTTTAATTACAATATAGTAAGTGATAGTAGAGTTCACGACTCAACCAAATACTAAGTATCATAATATCAAGAAATCTATATATTAAATTTTTTGAATTCTGTCTGTTTTTTGTGATACGCAATATATACTATATATATAAACAATATCTAATATTAAATATTCTTGTGCTATGATATTAGGATTGCATATCAGATACTACACAGATTGAATGTTATTTTCATTACAGTGTATATATTTTACTATATTTAGGGTTTCTTTGGAATCATAATATAATTTTATATATTTTAATTTATTATTTATTTTAAATTTCATTGTGACTTTGAAAAATTATACTCACTGACTAATTAATACGAATAAAGAGTATTAATAAAATTAATTGTATATAAGTGCCTAGAGTTAAGCACTTATAAATAAGTATTTATATACATTATTTTAACTCTACTGATTAATATTAATAAATCATCTTTATACTCATGCACTGCTGAATGACAAATATAGCTGAATGATCTAATATAGTTTAACTAGTTTAGTTGATATCAAACTAGAACTAACTACAAGATTTATAAAGCTTTTGATTTAACGAATAGCAAGAATTATTGCTACATGTCTTATAGATAGTTTTTGCTAAAGATAAATTATAAGGAGTTGAAAAAAAAAGAGCAAGCATTATACTATTTGAAGGGTATTAGGTAATTAATAAGTATTTAAAGTTAAGTATTTATGAATAAGTATTTATATTCATGATTATAATTCTACTGATTAATATTAATAAATCATCTTTATTCTTATACATGATTTGAAGAGTATTAGATAATTAATTAATTGTAAATAATTATTTAGAGATAGGTTCATGATTTTAATTCTCTGATTAATATTAATAAATCATCTTTATACTCACTAACTAAATAAAACTATAAATTATTTTTGAGCTTTGGCATTACAAGTTCAGATTTGAATTTGAGTTTAAATTTACTGTTTAAGTTCAGTTCGAGTTTGAGTTTGATCAGACTTGAGCAGAACTCAAACCAAACCTAGAAGTTCTAGTATAGTATTGTAATGCAGTTACAATATCTTGTAGCTTATTGATTAGAATTGTATGATTTTAGTACTAATTAATTCATCTCACTAAGATGAATTGAATAGTTATAAATTATTCAAATCTGATTATTAAAATATAAGATATTACTAATATATTACAATACTTCTATTATGCTATATTACTCTCTTAATTTAATTGTTTTTTAAAGTATCATATCTATAGTTGTTAGGCAAAAAGCAAAACCTAGTTTTGACTTTCACCAAATAAATTTTAAAATAGTGAAATGGCAAAACTGGCAAAAGATAATAAAACTTGCAAAAGGTAGAAAACTGATGAAAGATGACAAAACTAATGAAAGATGACGAAACTAACAAATAATAATTTAATAACTGACTAAGCTGTTTTGCATTAGTATAATACAGGCCAAAATTTCATGTGCTAATTCCTTAGGATCATCATATGAGTAGAAATTTTTAGTTGTAATGCAAAATTAGGTGATAATAAAGTAATACTCATAAATAGTTTAGCTTAAATGATCAAGGTTCAGATTAGTTTCAGGAGGTATTCTAGCTAATCAGTTCAGAGCGCTACTCATAAAAACTTATAAGCAACTGATCAAATCATCACTTTTAATCTTAGTAATCATACTATATTTTATATCTTATTGGTTTAGATTCTATTTAATCTTATTGTTTCATATACAGTATAGAATTACTTGAGTTTTGCTCATGCCAATTACTGCGAATTAAGATAAATTCTGACTAGCTTTAAGATTTAGTTTAGCTGATATTAATGCTAAGAGTAAGACTCTAAAAAGTTCAAAGATAGACTATAAATAAATATAAAAAAATGAGTAAGATTGAGAAAAATTTTAGAATAAATAAGCTGAAAGATTTCAGTTTAGTCAATTAAAATTTTTATTCTTTGCTGTAACTTATAAATTATAGTAATTTTACAACTCTACATATAATACGTATAAAATTTGAAAAATTGTAAATATAACAACTAATAGTATTCACTATGATGTATTTTAGTAAAGTCATAAAAATAAAATTTTATTTAAAATATAAATTTTAGAAATTTTAATTTAATATTTAATTCATAACCTGGTAAGAACTAATGAAATATTATAATAAAAGGTGAATATATTTTTTGCCTTTTTAGAATCTAAAAGTTTTCAAAAGATAACTAATTTTCTTTATTAAGTAAACCTCATTTATGCTTCTAATAAAAGTTGTAGAGAAAAAAATTCTGGTCATAATAGTTGTTAAAATAGTCTGGTTATTATGAGATATGAGTGTTTTAGTCTTCGTAGCTATATAATCAAAACAAAGTATATAAACATATAGCTACAAAGACTAAAACGCTTATATCTTATGATTCACTGAGCTGTTTTAACAACTATTATAACTAAAATTTTTTTCTTTACAATTTTTATTAGAAGCAGAGATTTATATAATAAAAAAATAAGTTATCTTTTAGGAACCTTCAGATTACAAAAAAGTCAAAATTTAATAGTAAATTTTTTAACTTTCTACTACGTATGATGTTTTACTGGTTCCTATATGAATTACAAATTAAAGCTATAAATTTAAATTTAAAAAATCTAAATAATTTAAATAAAATAAATAAATTTGTTTCTTTTAGAATTAAAAAAAAAAGTTTTCATTGAATTGATTAAGTAGTTATTAAGAAGTCAGTACTTATATTAAAATATCTTAAAGCTTTTAATAAAATAAGCTTACTAGAATTTTTTAAAATTTTAAACAAAGCTATTTCAAAGCTACCAGACCAAATTTGATAGAAATTTTTTTCTAATTCTACAGATTTAAAAATAGCAATAAAAAAAGATTCATTAAATTTTATCAAATAGATATTCAAAATTTTAGCGCATCTTTTATTTTAGATATTTTTAATTGTTTGCTAACTTTCGAGCAATATATCTTGACAAATACCTAGTTAATTTTGATGAAAATTTTTTTGCAAATTCATAAAATTAAAAAATTTCATTGAATTTGATTAGATAGTTGCTGAGATATCTTTGTTCAAAGTTTAAAGAACTAACTATTTAATTTTTCAAAATAATATATAGCTAATAAAATTATTTTTTTGTTTATCTCCTTTAGCTTCATTTTTATTAAAGTTCAGATACTAGTTATTTCATTTTCACTAGAGTTTCATCTTTACTGATTCACTATTTATCAGAGGTTTTATCTTTTGCTAGAGGTTTCATCTTTCAGCAGGGGTTTCGTCTTTTATCAGAGGTTTTACTAGAGTTTTGTCAGTTTTGCCTTTTTTGGGTTTAGGTTTTGTCTTTTGCCATTTTTGCAAAACAGTTTTATCTAACAATATAATCATATATAATACTAAGTAAAAGACTAAATTCACCAAAATATCTTTAGATACTTATATATATATATAAAATAACTTTATATAACAAAAGAGATTCTATATTTATATAATATAGTATAATAATATGAGATAACAGTATATTGGTATAGTGATAATTTTTTTGATCAGAGAATGCTATGAAGTAGCATTTTCTGAATTAAAAAAATTTTACTATACCAATGTATTGTATCTCAGAATTATCATGCTATATTGTTATTATAGCATAACAGTCATTAATTATAAATTATACTATTTATGTTTTTTAAATTCTTTAATCTGTAGTATAGTATAATATAAGTATAGATGATATATGCATTGTATAATATAACAAGCATGAATGATGAAATAAAGAGAAAGTAATTATAATATAAATAGTGTAATACTCATGATTAATAGTGGTCATACTATAAATAATTGTAAATACTAATATAAGCTTTTTAAAGATTAATAATTAGTAAGTTCAAGGTTAAATTCTCGTAATTTATATAACAATAATATAATTTTCTTAAGATTCTTTTTACTTGCTTATTACATGTCTATCTTTAGTTCTGATTAAATTTTGTTTTTCTACTCTACTTATATTAAAAATTAATTTACTGGATATTTTTTTATTTATTAAAAAAACTTTTTAGTATCATTACATTTTTTCTATTTAAAGAAAATTTTCAAGACTATTAACTAATTTAAATTAAATTTTATCTATTTGTCATATTTATAATATAATTTTAACAATAATTATCAATATATTACTATTATTATACAATAAATATTGTTTTATAAATAGAAAAAAAGAAAGACAATTAATGGCCTTTTTAAAATTTATGTTATCTTTTATTTTATTGTTATCTTTAATACTACTATAATATGAGTAGTGAAGTTGGCAAAGTTTATAAATTTGTAACATTACAAAAAGGAAATCTGAAATTACTACTATATAGTTATCTATTTGTGAAAGAATATGCTTATAAAATACTTATTATTGGAGTTGTGAAAATCAAAAATCTGAAGGCTGCAAAGCTCGAGCAATCATTACTTTTTCAAATAATTCCTACTAACTTAAAAAATTAGGAGAGCATAAATATAGTCCTCAGGCTACTAGTAGTAGGATTGTATAAGTCATTGCCTGCATCAAATAATAAGCTCATAATATACAAAATAAACCTTCTAAAATAATTCAAAGTAATATTGCTACTACTCTAACAAGCTTTTTTCCCTATATGCCTACAAAAGAAGCTCTTAGAATGAGAATTAAGTATGTTAGAAAAAATACAATATCACAAGAACCCAAAACTCTTAAAGAAATTGATATTTTAATTATATTACATTATACTTTAGATAGAAGTTTATTTTTAATAGAAGATTTAGAATATAATTAAAATAAAATTCTTTTATTTACTACAGCAACAAATATTCAGCATTTATCACAAGTATCTTATTAGATCATGAATGGTATATTTAAAACTGTACCTAGTCTTTTTTGATAGCTTTATATAGTTCATGCACTTATAGGTGCAAATAATAATTTTTTTTTTTTTTTTTTTTTTTTTTTTTTTTTTTTTTTTATTAATTGATAATATCAGTTAGGAAAAGAATTAGTACATTTAT